TTACCAAACTTGGCAACAGAATAATAAGGAAAGTGAATCTGTTGTTCACAAAGACAGACATGCTAGCATAGAGAGCTAAGTTACATCAAAATAACAACAAAAAACTTAAAAAATAAATTTTATTTCGTTAAATCATTTTAGTATCAAAATTTTGTTAATAATTCATCGTAAATAAAGTTTATATTTTTCTATAAAAGTATTGCTAAAAATTTGTTAGAAATCAACTCTATGTAAATTTTTCATAAATGAAACCAAAATAAAGTTGTCGTAAAGACAATTAATGTTAATTTGTCGTTAACTTTTTTGATGTTAGTTCATCGTAAACTTTTGATTTTATGCGATGATGTTTATTTATTGTTTAGGGAATTTTTGGTTCTCTTGGGGGCAAGTCTTCTATAAAACAAAAAAATACATGAAGGTCCGAAAAACACGATGATGGGATGTTTTCTGATGGCTCTCTAACGCTAAAGTCAGAAAACGGTTTAAGAAAGACCAGAAAGTGGCAAATCAGAGAGATGGAAAGAACTCAAAAAACAGAGAAGGAAAAGTGGACCGAGAGCTCTTGAGAAAGAGAGAGAGTCTATTCAGACCTGAGTTTAGTGGGTTTTTTAGGCGAAAAGAGAAGAAGTGTAAGAGTATATGGATAGAAATGTTCCACGGTTTAGGAACCACCATAGAGTGGAGACAAGATAATGGTTGGAATAATGCGAAAGTATGAATGCTCAGCCTTGTAATTCACGAGTATTTATCGAGATAGCATGAACTTCAAGGTAGCGAGATAATTGAACCCCTTTCCCATTAGAAAATGTTAAGTATTTATAAAATTTTACCTGACCCGGGTTAGTATACCAGATCGGATCTTGGGTTTACGGATCGGTCCAGGATCCTACTCGATTGTATCTGAATCTTATGCTTGCGTCATGCTTCTGACGGCCTAACCGACTTTTTTTGGCGTATTCCTCTTGCAATGAGACCGTTCCTTGGCACATCCCTTTTACCCTCTGCATACAGGTTAGATTCGGCGGTTCAGACGCGATATGGTCTTTGCTGAACCTCTGCTTTCCTCTTGCCTTCTGTGAGTGGTCAATATCACCTGACACATGTAAGTATTGAGCATTAAATGTCAATCTTGTGGATTTACAAAGGGTATGGGCAATCGAATCAACCAAATTCACATTCTGATTCGAATGGAAGGAAATTTAAACAGTGTTTTCCGCTTAGTAGGACATCCATACTTGATCCGGATCCTTTGATACTTGGACCGGGCTGTCGGAATTATCTCGCTGGCTGACTCTTTTCTTCGGGTACCTGTGTGGATTATACTTCCTTACGTCACGACTCTTCCATATCACTGAGCTTAGGTCTAGGACATAGCGAATGCAACATCTCCTCCTACTGACCACGCAGTTCTCGACCTCCTCGTCCCTGACAGCGCAGCCTGCACTGTCAGATACGAGGAACCAGAGAATAGGTGGCCTTACGTGCCAGATCTCTCGAATCCGAATGGTTCGGAGTCCAGTGCTATATACTTAGGTCGTATTGGACCGTAAATCCAATCAAGAAATCTAATTTGGCCCAGGGAGATTTTACCTGCAAAAAAAAATTCATCTTTGTTCGAAGGCTCAAAATGGATGTTTAATATTGAAAAATATCGTATTATATAAAGTTGAATTGTTCAACGTGGACATTTATAAATATAGGATAATTATAACTTGTAACGTGTTTCATGTTTTTTAATGACATGTGTTAATGTAATATTATAAATATTTATATTATTAATTATTTTAAAAAAGAGAAAATATTAGTTTTATTTTTCTAAATTACCAAAAAAAAGCAAAAGCAAGTAAAATATAATAGAAAGTATGTTTTTTGAACCCTAAAAAAATATATATTTAGTAGAGATTTGTTTTTATCAGGTTTATGGATAACTTTATTTAAGGAAAATTTATTTAATGGAAGCTCAATTAAGAATTTTAATTTAGAATCTAATTATATATACCATAAATATATGGATTATTAATTTAAAATCTAAAAAAGTAATTATTTTCATGCGTATCATGCATGCCTAATCTAGTAACTAATATTTGGGGATATTTCATTTATTCTGAGTCCAAATATAACTAATATCTTCAAATCTATACTATTATAAGGGAATGATGTTTTGTGTCTAAACAGGAATTACTTAGTTTTCCACTATTTTGTTTTTGGATAACTGTAATTCGTATTGCCAAACAAGTTAATTTAGTCAAATATTAATAAAAATTATTATATTGTATATATAAATTTAATTTCGAAATTTAAATACTAATCAAGATTATTTTAGACATTTTAAAATATAAATTAGATTATCTACTAAAAAAATCAGTTATTATCTTTACAAAAATAATAATCAGATATTAATATATATATTTGATTTGAATATTATAATTTAAATAAAATCTATACTACTAAGAAAATTTATTAAGAATACCAATAATTTTTTTTGAAAAAATTTATTATCATATGAAAATAATGTCATATTTTAAACATTCTATATTTATGATGATTTTAATGGGATGATATTGTTGATTATATAAAATATTTACAATTATGTTTTATTCGCAAATTAATAACAAAACTGTTTAGGGGATTTTTGGTCTTCGAGAAGGGGAAAGTTTCCTGTAAAACATAGAAAACATGAATGCTCGGAAAATACGATGAGGGTGTGTTTTTCGAAGGCTCTCTGACGTTCAAATTTGAAAACAGCTAAAAAACCACCAAGTGGCTAGTCGGAGAATAGAGAGAAGTCGGAAAACGAGTAGAAGGAAGTGAGGCGAGACTCCTTTAGAAAGGTCGGATCTGATCGGGCCTTTGGGAGGAAATGGGCTTTTGTGGTGAAAATAGAAGAAAATAAGAGTTTGTGGGTGGAGAAACTCCACGGTTTAGGAACGCCGTGGAGGAGAATTGAAGTGGAATGATCAGAATAGTGGTCGGAGAAGTGTTGAGTGCCTGAACTTAAGAACCATAAGTATTTAGAGAAATATCATGAGACTTAAGATGTCTAAAAGAAGTGAACACCCTCTTTCCCGTGGGAAAGAGCAATGTATTTATAGAGAGTTACCTGACCCGGGTTAGTATTCCGGGTCGATCTGCGAATAGTGAGTCGGGTGGGTCGGCCCATGACGTGACTTGACCTGGTTCGAATCTTGCGATGGTGTCACGCTTTTGACGGTCTTAACAACTTTCTTTGGAGTGTTCTTCCTGCTGTGAGACCGTTCCTTGGCGTATCCCTTTCATCTTCAGTGTACGAGTCAGGTCGGCGGTTCAGACGCGATATGGGTCTTTGCTGAACCTCTGCTTATCTTCTTGGCTCCTGCGAAAGGTCACTGTCACCTGACACACGTAATGAAGATGCATTAAATGCTAATCTCGTGGGTGTGTACGGGTAAGGGTAATCAAGTCAGACTAAGGTATATTCTTATTGTCGAATGGATTCCCGCCTAAAACGGTCAACTCATACCTGGCCCGGTTCCCTCGATACTGGGAGCGAACTACAGAGAATATATGACTTTGCTCTCCGGATACCTGTGCGAGCCACACTTCTTTATATTCTGACTTTTTTGGATCACCGAACTTAGGTCTAGGACATAGATAATGTGGCATCTCCTCCTACTGACCACTCAGTTTCCGACTTTCTTATTTTTGACAGCGCGACCTGCATTGTTAGACACGAGAAATCCAGGAACAGGTGGCCTATCGTGCAGGATCTCCCGAATCCGACTGGATTTGAAGTCCGATGCTATAACCTTAGGCCTTATTGGGCCGAAGGCCAAATACGTGTCATAATTTGGCCCAGGAGGCCGTACTTGCAAAAAAGCTATGGATGCCACGTGCAAGCACGCGATTTGTCTACGTAAGAAGGATTGAATGTATCCCCAACAAAAACAATGGTAAGAGTTAAATGTATAATTTAAATATTAAAAACAGATTTTTAATAAAATACAGAACTGAAAATATATATGAAAAGAGGTTAAAAATATTTTGGTGGCTAAAATCACTAATTTTGAATCATACATGTACGAAAATATATACTTTTATACAAAGTAGAAAGCATAAAAAGATAAAAAAATTGTTGCATGCTCTTATTATGGATTAAATTTCAAAAAAACTATATAATACATTTTATGCCAAATAAAATACTTCTATACTTTAAATAAATATTTAGATTATATGGTAATATGAACGGTGAGTTAGAATTATGGTTTTAATCATGATTTTTTTTGGATTAATATGAATGGATGTGTTAGAGTTATATTTTTTTAATCACGATTATTTTTAATACTCTAAAAAGAATTATATATAAACACATAATAAATATGTCTTACTTATTAGAAAAATATTTCTATAAAATAATTTTATCTAAAATAAAAAATACAAAAAGTTATATTACTAAATTTGATAAACAAAAAAAAAAGAATTCTTGCGCTAATGCACGAGGTAAAACCTAGTTTATAATTATAATTTTAGATAGTTTAGTTATTTCAATACTAAATTTAACTAATATTTTGGGTATATAATCACAGTTGGTATAATTTGGATACCCATTTGATTTTCGGTTTGATTCTAAGTTTGATTCAGGTATCCCATTTTTTTTTGGAATTCGGATATTTATGACTATCCGAAACCTTGCAGAACCTCCCAATTCGGTTTGGTTCCTTTAATTTTGATAATTTGCCCACGCCTAAGCAAAACTTTAAAATAAAAATAACCATGATGGTTTTTCAGTTATATCTTATTTTTAGCATAAGGATAAAACTTATATCCCGTAGTACTAGTACAAAAAAGAAACGATAGACGGTTATGCAAACTACGAAAGAGGTAACGTGCATGGACTGCTAAATTATTAACGGTCACTGATGTTTTCGAATTAGTGTCGACGTTTACCAACACGACCAACACTTTATCCAGTAAAAACACCAATGACACCACCTCCATTGTTAACAGTGTATCCTGTTTTCGACTTAGTGTCGACAATTACCTACACCACCACGACATTCTCCAGCAATAACACCAATGGGACCGATACCACCACTAGCACCACCAGCACCACCAGCACCAGTGGCACCACCAGCACCACCGATACCACCACCACCAGCAGCACCACTGGCACCACCAGTACCACCAACACCACCATCACTGGCACCACCAACACCACCAGCACCAGTAGCACCACCAACACCACCAGGACCACCAGCACCACTAGCACCACTGGCACCACCAGTACCACCAGAACCATGGGCACCACTAGCACCACCAGCACCACCAGCACCACTGGCACCACCAGTACCACCCGCACCACCAGAACCACTAGCACCACTTGCACCACCAGCACCACCAACACCATTAACACCACTACCACCGTCTGTACTATTAGCACCGTTAGCATCACCAACAACACCCATACCACTGAAACCGGTGGCACCAACATCACCGCCTCCTCCATGTTTTTGACGTCGGCTTTTGCTACTGGCACGACCATCTGTACCAGATAGTTTTCCCAATATTTGAGTTAACATCAGAAACACCATCACACATGCCATTACCCAACCCCTTCTCACGAACATCCCCGTATACTCTTGCTCTCTCTCTTTATCAAGATATATTCCCAAATAATATAAGCTTAATCGTTAGAAGTTTTTTTTTGTTACAAACGTTGGCGAGAAACCCTATTTATAGCCAAAACTCCATCGACAAGCGCACAACACACGTGTCTTCTTATCTCTCGTTCATGAAAATATGAACACCCATTCAACATTCTTAAATCTTGAAATCGCACTCTCATAGGTCCACATAGATACGCAATATAGATTTCTATAAACATTTCTATAAACACCTTAATAAAGCTGATAGCGATGGTCACATGCTACAACAATATAGAAATCTCATATATTCTTGTATTCATGTAACTTTGAATAAAGCTGATAATTAATGATGATCAGTTATAAAAAGAAACTCATACATTCTTGCTCTATTCGTAAACATAAATGTGGGAAATATATATAGTCATCAAGGGAAATATCTAATAAATCATAACCTCTTTTAGGTTCCATCTAAGATAATGTGGTGGAGCAATATTACATCCAAAAACTAGTAGATGAGAAACATTTGGTTTCTGACCAAAAATCAATACTAGAGAGAACTCAGAATTATTTGTTGGCTTAATGCGAATAATTGCGATTTCAATTTTTATATATCAATTAACCAAATACTTTAGTAAAGATATATAATGGGTGATCAGTCCAAATTATCTCCTTGTATATATACTAGAAAATTGACATATTCCAAATTTATTGGAGCTTAAAAGCCATACCATGAACTTGATTATAGACATCACATAAAAATCTTTGGTTCTTTAATGAATGTCAACATAATTTTTTATTCTTTTTCGTATTACTATTGAACCAGAATGGTCTAATCGATCATGCCAAATAGTGTTGTTTTCAGTAAACTTCTGGTTTACTATATAATATTAATCTACATTATTCTTTGTGTAATACAATCTAGTAACGAATGCATGAAGTTTCTTCAAAAAAATTTTACTGTCTTTGGTGATACTTATGATGTGAAGATGTTCAATACTTTCTTCACTCATTGTCTTCACTTGATAAATCTTAAAATCTTCTGAGTATTTTTTTACACATGATTTATCCAACGTGAGTGTGAACATGATTTTCAAAATATTCCACTTACTCTGAATTATTGGATTCTGCGATTCTCCCCCTCGATATGATAACACTTCATATCCATCTATCTCGAACTGAATCCCACTCTAGGATCAACGATATACCCAACTTAGATTTTATATTATATCTTAGATTCTTTTAACCTTTAAGACTTACAATAGTATAAGTGACTTCAAAATACATTCTCCTAGGCAAATATATCTGCTCTTCTAGAACTTTTAATATTCTTTATACTACGTTGTTTTGTACTTCACAGCTTATTTTATCATCACATGAGAGAAACAACTCTTATATATTATCATCTGTATTTTTCTCACTTCTGGTAAGTTTTTGAAAAAAACAATTTGAAAAAAATTAGATAACATTAATTTTCTAAAACTTAGATTTTATAAAGTAATAATTAATCATCTGTTCCACTATAAGAAAACAAGGCAATTTCCAATGGCAAAAAGCGGTCTAAAATATCCGACGGTTTCTTGACGAAGAATCGATGGCAGGAAGGTCGGTAATTTGTCGGAAAATCTGTCAAAACCCCGATGGATTTCCGACAACAATACTAACCAGATGGATTGCCAACACATTTTCCGATGAGAATATTTTCCGTGTATAATTTCTTATGAGCCATCGGGGATCGATCGGTAGTTTCATATTATTTCCGAAAAAAGCCAATCACCACATAGACTGACAATATTCCATCGATAATAGATCTGTTAATTTATTCGTTGTAGTAGCCATTTATAGACGTTTTTAAATGGGCAGAATATTTTTTATAAATACTTCTTCATTCTCATTCACAACTTACACAAAAAACCAAAAAATTGTCTACTTCAAACCCAAACCCTTATAACTATTTCGATTACGGATGAGTATGCAACGGGAGTTAGAGAATTCATGACGTTTGCGATAAAAAATAGCACGAGATCAGAAAACGATAAACTTTATTATCCATGTACTAAATGTCGGAATAATTAGACTAGGCTCTGTTAGCAGACTATAGAATCACTTTTATAGGAACGAGTTTATGCCGGGGTACAAGAGTTTATATACACATGGAGAAAATGATTCAATGGTACACTATCATAGCAGTACTTCAGGTAGGATAAAGTAAGTAGATGCAAACATAGGTACTATTCAGATGATGAATGATGTATTTCGGGAAAACATAGCATTGTATGTTCAGGATGGTAATAGAATAAAAAAACCAAATTTAGAAGCCTATAAGTTTTTTGATATACTATATGCAGCTAAGCAACCCTTATATGGAGGATGTAGAGAGGGTATTTCGGCTTTATCAACTGCATGCAGGTTGATGATTATAAAGATAGATTTTAACTTGGCGGAGGATTGTGTGGATGTGATAGCTGATTTTATGATAGACATTTTGCCTGAAGATAATATCTCATCGCTTTTACACTATGAGATTCAGAAACTTGTAGCCAAGCTTGGATTGCCGTATCAAATGATAGATGTTTGCTTCGACAATTGTATGATATACTGGAAGAATGGTGAAATCGATTAAAGTGAATTTTTTTTCACAAACTTGGCTATCAGGAAACAAGTGGCAGAGTACCTGTTCCACATAAGGATGTGGTATTTGCCAGAGAGATTGAAAATGTTATATCAATCCCAGCAAACATCAGCACCTATGAGATGGCATGTGCAACATAACTTAGATTGAGAGATTAGGCATCCCTCAGATGCAGAAACATGGAAACATTTTGAAGAGGTCTATCCTAGTTTTGCGTATGAGTTGAGAAATGTATACCTCGGGTTATCTGCGAAATGGTTTCAACCCTTTTGGTAAGCATGAGAGGTAATATTATTTGTGGCTAGTAATTGTCACACCTTATAATTTCAATATTCTTTGTATATATAGGTTTAAAAAGATTTGAAGAACAAGCTGAATTAGGAGAATAAAAAAAGTGAGACTATTACAAACCTTAATGATATGAGCTTCATTATGGGCATCCATATATTTATTCATAACAAAACTACATTTATTTTTTTATTTTATGAAATCGGTTAATTTCATATTTACAATGGCATATTTAATAATAGGGTATTTCTCTTAATAATATATCTGACAATCATTATTATTTTTATTTTTTTTATAATCAACATGATGCAAGCTTAGGGTTTACTTTGCTGATTCATGTTTTGAATGTATAACCCTAGTTATCTGCAAGGGCACAGTAGTGCGTTGTAGTACTTAGGGTATCGATCCACAGAGAATACACGCTTTACCTGCAGAACCTTAGAACCAGAATTAGTAAACCAAGTCTAAGACGAAAAACGGGGTTTTGGATAGGTTGTGCGATTTCTATATATATGTAGGCTAAGAAGGAAAATAAAACTTAAACTAAAAGTGGATATATCGATGTTGAATATAAAGGATGTCTATGGAATATGATTGATTCAAATTGCGCAAAACAATGCTCTTAAAATTGATCCTAGTAATCTTAGAACTTGAGCTATGATGGTATGACTACGCCACTGTCGTGGTCATAACCGATTGTCTCTCGCAACCCTGACCAGTAGGTTTCCACTATGGCACTTGAAGGTTGAAGACAAAGGAACTTGCACAAGACTCGTCAACATTCACAATTCACCCATAGGTAGGTTTCCACTCCTATGGCAGAATCGTTCTTCTCAAGCTAGATCTGGTACCGAATGAAAACTCTCGCAACACTAAGTGTGATGATCAATATCTAGTTCGCGATGCTAGATCCATGCTTTAAGTAAAAGCTTAGAAGAAATATTTCTAGAACACGGCTTGGTTTATCTCGCGAAGATCCCTACCAAACATAGTCGGTTTCCTTCGATGCAGCCTTTAAACTCATACCTTATTATTATAAAACGTGCATAAAGTAATTAAAAGAAAGAAGTAGAAAAAAGAGACAAGGGGATGAAGAAGAAGCATCTCAATTTCAAGAGCTAGGCTCGGAGAAAACTTCTCTTCAAATCCTTTTAACAACTAATCTAATATAAAGAAGGTAAAAACGAAAATGAATGACATAAAAGTAAAAGCTGAACTTAAAGTTTGCATAAAGTAAAGGTAGAACAAAAAGAGGGTCAAAAAAAATCTCCATCTCCCTAAACTAAGAACGAATAACATAAGAACATAAAAACCCTAGAAAAACTAAATTTGGTGGCTTGCAAAAGGGATTCTTCTGAGGAACACAAAAATAGGTCTGCTAAGATACATATTTATAGGTCTTCAACTCTGTCAAGTCGTCCTTAGGGTTTTATTTGAAGAGAAGACGAATTGGGCTTGAAATGGGGTCGTGGGCCAGCCTTTTAGTCGGCCCTAGTCGTGAGGCTTCCACCCGTGGTGAATGGGGGTTTGGCCGGGGCCAGAGACTCCTAACCGTGGCCAATAGTGTGTTCTCCACGGTTGTGGCCCTTGGACCTGTGGAGATTGGCTTATGAGGTTGAATCTTGCTTCCTTTGCGAGACTGCTAACATGTCTTCTGTGCACCAAAGATATTTGGAGATCTAACCATTGGATTGTCTCCAAACCAATTGCATTTGAAAGCTAGTTGTCTCCTTTATTTTAAGTCCAATTTCGGGGATGACCAGACGGTGAGAAGGTCTTCATAGATATAAAAATTCTGACGGCCTGAATTTATCCAAAATGATCTTTTGCTCCAAAATGCACTCCTTTTGCCTTAATTACCTAAAAAGAGTCTTGGAACTACAAATACTAGAAAACCATAATCAAAAAAACTTAAAAGAAATAAAACTATTTCAAAAGAATTTAAAATCGATCCATAAAAGTGGTCAAAATACGGTATCAAAATTCGAGATCGGAAAGGAGCAGACAATGGAGTTGCAGACCATCTTTCGAGTTGAAGAAA